CACACACACACACACACACATACACAACACACACACAAACACACACAAACATGCGTGCACGTGGGCACACACACACACACATACACACACGTTTGAACGCCACGTGCAGGTTTGGACGGGCCCGTTCGAACGCGAATGCGCATTCTGGGCATTCGATCTGTTACATAGGTTGGGTGGGAACCATTTGAAGTGCATCTTTGCGTTTTAGGTGAACAGTCCCCATTAAAATATAAAACGGTGCAACGGTTTCAGGCCCACGCCCAGACACCATTTAAAATGTGTGGCAGCGAGGCCTAGGCCTATGAAAAGAGAGTATGCCTATTTTGGTGATGTTATGGTGCTCAGAGTGTTTCGCAAAAAGATATGGAAAACATCAGGTTCACGGACCGAGAACCGATCTTTGCGAGAAAGATAATCGAAAAATTTTTACCAAATTTCCTTCAGGGACAAAATAATGTTCGCAATCTTGCTGCTGCTACAAGCGGGCCCACATTGTTCTGGTTGGGGCCAGGCTTGGGAAAAAAATACATGTCTGTTTGTTAAACGACTGGTACTTTTGGAGCCCCCTCCTTCAGAAAGTATCATCGACGAAAGTTTGCTTGGGATTGGGAGAAAGTGCAGTCCTTTGGGGACCCTGGAAAGACCGTTGCATTGCGTAGATGTAATGGATGATGTACCGCATCCAGGGGGAGGAACCTGCAGAAATGATAAAGCAGCAAATCCAAGGGGACCGGGCGACACAATTAGCTGGAAGTTAAAAACACAGCTAAATCTCTTTCATACGAGGAAAGACATAAAACTGACAATCAAACCACCACTACTTCCGAAAGTCGTGCCCGTTACACTACAGGTCAGGCGGGCCAGTCGAAACTAGTCGGGTCCTACCGCCAGTTTATCATTGTTACATTTTCAAGTCGCGTTCGGGGATACTTTTTTCAATCTTGGCGTAGATCTTCCTTCTCTCTCTCTCTCGCTCTCTTTCTCCCTCTTTCTCTTTCTTCCCCTTCTCGTCTCGTTTCTGTCGTCATTTTCCCTGCTTGGCGATGCCTGCGGTCTGTGTGAGGATGCCTTGAGTCTGCTAACGATCAACATCAACACTACAGGAGCGTAGAAATTCATCCGACTAGAAACGTTTCTCTTCTACTTTTTCCCGCGGCCGATAGCTGGGCTGAGTACTGGTGGTTTCAAAAGTTTTCTGAGGAATGGCTGGGGGGACAACATCTGGGCTGGATAGACGGTATTCAACTGCGCCCCCCCCGATCAGGAGGCGGTCAGGGTGGGACCCCCCTTTGATGTATTTGACATGGGGGAGGCAAGCAGCGGCCAATCAAACTCAAGTCGGGAGGCACTCAGGAGAGACTACATCCTATCGTTCAAGGACCGGACAAAGATTGACACAAGAATTCCGCTGCGCCCTCCCAGATCTCCTCCCAACCCACAGTCGTTCTCTGGTGGAAATGCAAAGGTTTGGAGGCATCTGGTCTGTGGCTACATCGAGGAAGACTTCTGCCCATCTCCCGGTCCCGAGGGGCCGAAGAAGCTGATCATTAAACACACCGTACGGTTCCCTGCTATTCTCAGCCGAAGCAGGGTAAAGGCCCCAACGTTGGAGTCACAAGCATGGATTGGGGACGCAGGACACGGTTTCCAGCACGTGACGCTCCCCACCAATGGACTGGAGCAACCAGCGACATCCCCTCTAGCAGACTGATGTCAGACTTCGGAAAGGGTATAACAATGCATGACCATTAACACACCTCAACCTCCAGGGGTTGCCACCGCTTCATCTGGCGCGAGCACACAGCCCGCACGCGCGCGCGCGCGCGCGAGAGAGAGAGAGAGAGAGAGAGAGAGAGAGAGAGAGAGAGAGAGAGAGAGAGAGAGAGAGAGAGAGAGAGAGA